AGTGAACTATGTAAATTTGTATAGTTGACTACAACTACTTATTGTGCCTATTTGAATTTGTATAGTTGCCTACAACTACTTATTGTGCCTTTATCTCTCTATCCGGAATGGCCAATCCTGGTTCGGTAATTGAGATCGAGATGTAAGAGTTCATAATTTTACGATTCACCAGATTCTCGCTTTCATTAATGACAACAAATTTTTAGGAATTTTCCGAGAGTTGCTGACTTTTTTTTACCCATTTTACCTTATACCGTAATTAAGGGCATTTTTGTCCAATTGGATCAACAATTTGTTACTTACCTAATTTATATTTTTCGCATGTTATTCACCTAATTACATGTCTAAAACATAATATTCACCTAATTTACCCTTTAAAATAACATAACCAATAACACTAGATTTGGTGTGGATTTCTAAATCCATTAAAATGCAGAAACCAATAACCCGCACTTGAATAAATATTGTACAAATATCAAATAATATTCAGTTCTAGAAAGAAGAAAAACAAAACATGGGTCTGATTCATTGCTGTAATAAAATGTCTAAAAAAGTAAATGTTTTTGATGGGTAATAACAACTTATGATTATATATTTCATTTTTTTTCCATATAGGACTCAGATGATCTTAAGACTCGTGTTCTTCACCTGCTTCATGGCCTGCATGAGAAGCTTCTTCTTCTGTAGTCTTTGCTTCATTTTCGTTGCTTTCGATTTTCTCTTCCTCGGGCGTGCGTCGATTATTAGCAGCGGCTTGTAGGACATGATTGTAGTTACCTTTCTCGAGGAAAAGCTGATTGAAATGGACCTTACAATAAAGAATGCCATTGAGAGCAGCATATGAAGAATGTGTTAATGGACAACCACTATGTGCACATCTAAAGCAAGTCTTGTGGTAAGATTCTCCTTCCATTGTCATCTTCTCTAGTGGATAAACAGTTTTCTTACAAGCTGCACATTTGTCTTGTGTTCCGCTAAAGAACGAAGATAACTTGCTTGGAGCCCTCGTCTAGATTTGTCACATAGAAGAATCAAATTAAATAAAAATGATGATAACAACACAAAACAGAGGAATGTTTGATAGGTTATGTACATACCATTTCATTCGATTTCTCGGTCTTTCCTGCTGTAAATTGCTAAAGATTGTTAGCATTTCAAACAGAGCAAAAATATAAGTATGTGAAAAACTAACCTGTCTGAAAATTCTTGCTGAAATTTCCAGATTCTTTAAAGAGCTGTTCAAAGTGAGTCTTGCAATACAAAACTCCATCCATGGATGAGTAGTTGCTTATCTGCAAAAGAGAAGAAAGATAAGATTCTCTTTTTGTTTTCTTTCACAGAAACAAAGGAACAATGGAGGAAGAAGAAGAAGATAGATAGATACCACGAGAGTGTGATTGCAATGGCTGCACCTGAAGCATGACTTATGATAAGGCATTCCTTCCAATGTCATCAAATCCATAACGTAAACCGTCTTGTCACACGCTTTGCATTTGTCTAATGTCCCTGTAAACGCCATTGTTATCTCTCTTCTTTCTTTGATTTCAAGATCACAAAAGAGTCACAAAAAGGATCAAAGTTCGTTTTTTTTTATCCTCCATCTATGGAGCTCTATGCCTTTATTCAAAATCTAGGATTGAGTTTTTGAGGTAATTTTTGGTTCTAATGGTTGAGATTCGAATGAGGAGAGCCCTTTACTTATTAAATCATCTATATTCTATAATCTAATTCTGGTTAATTCATTTTCATTCTAACCTTTTGTTTTGTTTTGCATTCGAGTAAATCAAGGAACACACAAAATTAAAAGCTATTTGTCTAGCTGATTAAAAAAAAAAACATACAAAAGCTTATATATGGTTAACTTTCCGATTTTGAGATGTAATTAATTCATATACACAAATATGATCGTCTTTATGCACTGAGGTAATATATAACCTAGCCATTACAAGATTTGTCTTTTAACCATAGCTTTTATGGCATGTATGTACATATCAGTCGTGACCATGATTTGTTATGTAACTAGAAACAAAAAAAAAGCTAATTGAAAAATGGGAAAGAAACAGGGGAATAATATGACAATATCAAAATACAGGGTAAATACTGTAAATAATGTAAAGACCATCGTTGTCAGCTAAAAGAAGGGGGGGGGGGTGGAATCCGAATTATTATTATTACTAGGGTTGGATGCGCGAATTTGGTTTCTTTTTGATATTTTTGTGGTATTTTCCTATATTTTGTACCTATATCATATATAGCGTGTATTGGTAAGTATTTATGGTAGTATATAAGTATCTTTTATATTGATTAACACATTCTAATATCATATGTTCAATTATCAATTTGGGTGTGAAAATTTGTTTTAAATAAAAAATTCCTTCAGTTTGGCATTGATTTTAAATAAATATTTTTTAGATTTTACAAACTTATTATTATATTTTTTATTGCAATATAGCTCTATTCAATCTTAAACATATTCTAACTACAATCGTACAACGCATAGATCAATATATTTACTTTTGTCATTTTTTCGTAAAACACTAATATAATTATAAAAAATTAATGTATACATATTCTTTTTTTTTTATGTTTTTTTAAACACTTAAAAAATATTTTTTTTTCTAGATTTTTTGGGTTAAAAGCATTGGTTCAAATATTAAATTATGAAATATGTATTTTTCTTGGATCATGGTGTAGAACTACGTACATTTTTTACATAAATATTATATATCATTTCCCATGTATTTTGTTGTACAATGTATGAATAATGTCACCATTAAGTTTTTACTTTATATGTATCAAAACTTAAGATTTTTTATAGGGACAATTGCAAAAATATAACTTTTGGTGTACCACTAATACAACATAGTTAACTCAAACATAAATGATATACTAAGTAAATAATTTTGAAAAAATGGACATTTGCAAAAATACCACTTTTCAATGATCAGTTTGCAAGGGTGTCACACGTTGGTACATCTTTGCAAATTTGCCATCATTTATTAGCAAGAGGACAAAAATATCATTTTTTCCTTTTTTTTCTCCTTCCTTTTTTCTTTTTCTTTTTCTCTTTCTTCTTTTCTTACGAGATCTGATTTTTTCTCTTATCTTTTTTTCTCTCTCTCCGTAACAAAAAAATAGAATCTTTTTCTCTCTATCTCAAGCTATTGTTAATGGAAAAATGGTGGTGACGGTGTTGAAGAAGAAAACAAACATATCTAGATATGAATTTCTCTCTCTTTCTCTCATACAGATCTAGATCCGGATTTCATAATTTTTTTTTGTAAATCTGGGTTTGTTTGATTTGTGTTGTAGATCTGAGTTTTTTATTCGATTTTGGTTATAAATCTAAGTTTTTTTCTTCGATTCGGCTTATAGATCTGAGTTTTTGATTATTTCTTGGTTAGTTTTGTTTTTGATGTTCTGGTTAGTTTTGTTTTTGATGTTTTTTCTTACTCATCTAGGGTTTTGACGTT